ATCTTGTTGTTTAGTTTTGATGATTTACCATACCCATTGAAGTACTGTTTTTTATACTGTTCCCTTTTTCCAGAAGATTATTTGATTCGAAGAAAAAGGCTCATTAGGTTGTGGATAGCTGAAGGGTTTGTTGAAGATGTCAAAGGCGCCACATCAGAAGAAGTTGCTGAGAGCTATCTTATGGAGCTCATTTTCCGTAGCATGCTACATGTTGTTCTGAGGAATGAAAGTGGAAGGCCCAAAGCATGTAAGATGCACGACCTTATGCGGGAGCTTGCTCTGTCTACATCAGAAAAAGAAAAGTTTGGTGCTGTACATGATGGAAAAGAAGTTATGGACGAAGTTCAAGTGCGCCGCTTGTCAACTCAAACCACTGGAGGAGAAATTAAACTAGGCACTGGTATGGCACAACTTCGTACTTTTCTTGTGTTTGTTACTGACATGTCCTCATCCTCTTCCTCGAATACATTGCCTTCTGGATTCAAATTGTTGAGGGTGCTAGATTTGGGATATGTTCCAATTGATATACTGCCAAAAGAATTTGCGTACTTATTCAATTTAAGATACTTAAATTTAAGGGGAACTCCAATTAAGAAGCTTCCTGAATCCATTGGACAGCTCCGCAACCTTCAAACTTTGGATATCATGAACTCAAAGATAGAGGCACTTCCAAGTGGAATTGCCAAGTTGCAAAACTTGCGCCATCTAATTATGTATCGTTACACTAAAGAACCTAATGGCTTCAGATATGTGAATGGGACAAGATCACCATCAAATATATGTATGTTGAAGAAATTGCAAGTTTTGACGTGTGTTGAATTAGAAGGAAACATTGTTAGACTTGTGGGTAATATGACCCAACTTAGAAGGATTGGAATTACGAATGTAAAAGAAAGAGACGAGATGGACCTATGTGCCTCAATTCAAAAGATGAAGCAACTTCACTACTTGTTTCTAATGACAAGCGATGAAGAGGAAGTTCTTCAAACAAACAAACTATGCTCACCTCCTCCCCACCTTCGAATGGTTATTTTGGTTGGCAAATTGGAAAATGTACCACGTTGGTTCTTTTCACTCCAGAACCTCACATATTTGTATCTGCATTGGTCTAGAATTGAAGAAGATTTACTACCTTACATTGAAGCACTGCCCAATCTGGGAAATCTTTCACTTCTTAATGCATATGTTGGCAGAGAGTTATGTTTCAGCAGAGGGTTTGAAAAGCTTACGAGATTGCATTTGTGTACTTGCCCCTTATTGAACAAGGTAACTATAGAAAAAGGGGTGATGTCAAATCTCCAATCTTTATGGCTTGATAACTGCCCAGAACTAAACACAATGCCACAGGGTCTTCAATACCTCACTAAACTAAAAGTATTGGCATTGGAGCATGTAACACAGGAACTTAAGGATTCCATACGAGGAGGTGTGGATCGTGAAAAGGTACAACACATCCCTGAGATCTACCATTTTTACGAAACGTCACTGGGGATGTGTCGTGAAAGCTTGTCCTAGTTGTTTTGGAAGGAGGTATGTAAAGTTTTTTTTTTTGGTCTCCTTGTTTTTCCTTTTTCGTTTTTTACATATGCCTTGAGTTCCCTAACTTGCATCGTATAAACTATTCTAGTACGAACTGTTGTCTTGTTATCCACAAGTTTGTTAAGGCCGTGTATTTTTGTCCATGGACTAAATACTAAGTCTGCAATAGTTAGTTTCGATAGCAAAAGATTTTTGTATTGAAATTCTGTTTGATTATCATTTCGATTTTGTTGTTTGCCATGCAGAATCTAGTCCGAGACGGAAAGATTTTACCCAGTTGCGCCTAGAAGAACCCTTGCTTTCTTGTGCGAGTCTGCAAATCTTAATTATTTTCCATCACTATCTCAAGTTTTATTTGAAGCCATTTGATCATTAGTGAGTTTTGCTTTGAGACTATGGAATCTTATGAAATTTGATTCGTGGGTGTGTTTGCTATTTGATTATGTAATGCCTTAAGAAGCACTAATCAGTATCTAATGCTCAATTTGATTTTGAGAGTTTCCTATACTTGTACATTGATAATCATCTTCTGCTGCTCTGGAAAACTTTTAACAACCGTAGAACTTGAATTAAGTTAGAAGTTTAAGCTTTTAAAATTGTGATGTCATTAGAATTTGTGAGCAGAGTTTTTCAACATTCTTCTTTGCTACCGGATAAATAACATCAGTAACAATGCAAAACAGGGGAATGGCGAAGTCAG